AACCTGGTCTAGTGGAAGATGTCCCTGCTCATGGCAGGGGGGTTGGAACTAGATTATCTTTAAGGTCTCTTCCAACCCTTACCACTATATGATTTTCATTTTAATCTTTTTCTTCAGTTACCTGTGTTCTGTTTTATCTTAAAAAAAAAAGGCTTCATATGTTAAAGCGTATTTTCTCTATACCCCCTAATTTATAGTTTTTATAGGACTGACAATAAATGTAAAATTCTTACACGCACCAGCTAGATCCACAGCTGTTCAAAAATAATTTAGTCTATTAGTAGCCTACTTAGGTGATGGCTTCAATCAGTCAGCTCTGTCTTTCCATGGGAAATACGGGATTTACATTTGGATGCTCTTGGGAAGGAGCCTGTCATCCAAGGCATCTATATTATGTCAGTAATCTCAATTAATAGTAAAGTGAAGGGTGAATTGGTTGCAATTGATGAACATTGTTTTATTCCAGATGGTTGATGAAGTTAATGTGCTAAAAGTAATTTGGTCGTTAATACATTATTAGAACAGTTGCTAAAGCTGAAATCTGTCATGACCATTTGTGAAATTATGCTGGTAAACATGATTTAAAACTTAGTTTTCCTTTCTCGTTCTGCGGACATTTTTGTATTCTTGGCAGTGTCTTCTGAATTGAGTTGTCCTGACATGGTTAGATATTTCAAAACCGTAGCAATTTTTAAAACTAAGGACTCCTAAATCTTCTAATTTGTTATTGTAAACAGTTTATTTGGAAATTCTGTGTGTTAAATGAGCAGTATTTAATAACTTGCATGTTTGTTTAGGCTGCAGTGGCGAAGACAGAAGAATTGCAGAAGCAACTGGAGCAATCAAGTATTGACTCTCAGAAAGAAATAAAAGCTCTGAAAAGTGAATTAGCGAATGCACAATGCAAACACAATGAGGACGTAACAAAGCTGAAAATAGAATTAGAGGAGCGAGTGAAGAAACAAATGAGGCTGGTGGAACAGATTGAATGTTACAGTGATAGTCAAAAAGAAGTTCAAAGACTACAAGAGGATGTCCAAAGAATTAAATCTACTTATGAGGAGCAAATTTTATGTCTGCATAAGCAGTTGGAAACTGTGAATGAAGACAAAAACAAAGAAGTGACAAATCTGCAAGAAACTATTAAAAGCAACTCTCAGTGTTACCATAATGAAATCAATAATCTGAATGAAGAGCTTAAAAAATTAAAAAATGCTCATCAGGAAGAGGTGTCAGAGTTAATGCATCAGATTGAAATATCATCGAAAGAAAATGAAGAAAAGCAAAATCAGATAAATCAGTTACAGCGCAGTTTGGCAGAGGACGGCTTAATAAAAGAGAAAGATGCAAAGGATGAAATGTGTGCTCGTACTGGCCAGCGTGAGCATGACTTGGAGCAGCTGAGAGAAGTCTTAACTAAAAATATAGAAAGCAAGATAGCTGTAGATACACAAGAAGAACCTTGTGTAGAAGCGAAAATGGAAGAAAAGGTTAGGCACCTGGAGCATAACTTAGAAGAGCTCCAGTCCCAACATAGTATATTAAAAGATGAGTTAACTTACATGAGTAATGTTAAGCTAAAACTGGAAGAGGAAATCCATCGCATAAAGGATGAGTACTTTCATGAGCGGGAAGACTTGGACTTTAAGATAAATGAATTGCAGCTTACTAAAGAAGAATACTGTTGTGTAATTGAAAAACTAAAACTGGAGCTTCAAGCAGGAAGACAGCACTTTGAAACTGCTATAAAAGAGCATAAGTTAAAAACTCAAACTCTGGAAGAGCAACATAAGAGAGAAATTTCTGAACTAAATGAAACTTTATTATCTGGTTCTGAAAAAGAAAAGATGGCATTAGGTTTTGAAGTGCAGGAACTTAGAGAGCAACTTGAAAAGCTAACTCAGGAGAAAGACGAAGCAGTGTCCAATTACAACAGCCTGAGAGAAACAATGGAAACTCTGCAGACGGAGCTAGGAGAATCTGCTGGAAAGATCAGCCAGGAGTTTGAATCAATGAGACAGCAGCAAGCTTCTGATGTCAGTGAACTGCAACAGAAACTCCGGGCTGCTTTCAATGAAAAGGATGTTCTTCTTGAAACTGTGAATCGCCTCCGTGAGGAAACAGAGAAACTGTCATCTAATCAGCTAGACATAGAAGAACTTAAATGTAGAATCATTAGTCTTCAGGAGGAGAATAACACAATAACAAACTCAGTTGACCAAAAAGAGACTGCTATGAAGGAACTGGAAGAGAAGATCATTGCTCTGACTGATCAAAACAAGGATATTTTAAATGAAGTAAAATGCTTGGCTGAAGAGAGAGAAACCCTTCAAGAAAGGTGTAAGCAAGAACAGGGAAAAGTTGAGGAACTTCAGCAAGAAGTAGATGTTGCTAACCAGTACAATAGCGACCTGAAGAAAAAGGTGGAGGAATTAACAGAGAAACTGAACGAAGCTTTAACTAGAAAGAGTGAAAATGCTGAAAAGCTAGAGCAACTGGAAAACCAGATTGAGTCTCTGGTGCGTGAGAGAGAGAACCTTTCATCTGAAGTACATACTCTTCTTGAGGAAAATAAGAAAATCATTCAGGAAAAGGGTGAATTAAGTGAAGAGCTGGAAAAGGTTACAGCTGAAAAAGATGGTTGGTTAGTGTTGAAAGAGCAGTCTGAAAACTTAGAAAAGAAACTACAAACGATGACTGGAGAAAAAGACCATATATCAACATTACTTGAAAGTGAACAAGCGCACAGATCCCTTGTAAGAACTCAGCTGTACCACTTACTCGAGCAAGTAGGGTCCAGCGTGTCAGATTCTAACGAAGAGTATGATTCTCTTAACTTGTTACAAATTGCAAATGAATCCTTGGCAAAAATGAAAGAAGAGCACTGCCTTGCTCTACAGAATGAGGAGAAAATTCTTCATTTGCAGCGGGAAGTTGAGAGACTAGAGGAAGAAAATGCAGTTCAATATACAGAACATAGATCCCTGATTCAGGATTTTGAAAAAGAAAAGAATCTCTTGAGAGAAGAATTGGAAGGAGCGTTGTCTGATAAAGCAGCACTTCAAAATGATATCCAGGAGCTAAAGAATGCCAGTGAAAAAATGAGGATTGAAAATCAAGATCTTGTAGCTAATATTGAAGAGATCACTCAAAAACTTGCTCTTCATGAAAGTCAAATACAAGAACAGCAAAAAGGATCAGAAAAACAAGACGACTTTAATTTCATTCTGGAACAAAAGGAAACTGAACTTAGAAATGTGAAAGACGAACTGAGTTCTCTAAAGGTTATATTTTGTTATTGAAGTATACAGACTAAACCTCTAAAGTCTTCAGAATTAAGGTTCAAAAAATACTTTCAATTCTCTCTTTTTCTTTTTTTTTGTTCCTTGGCCTCAAAGTGAGTTTCCTTTCTAGAAAGCACATGCCTCTGAGTTTCCTAGCACCTCAGAATCCCCTCCCTCCCCCCAGGAAAAAAACCAACAAAACAAAACCAGTCATAGCGCTATCTTGATGAAAGTTGCTTGTACTTGAACCAGTCTTCCTATCAATACCCCTCAAAGTGATCATTTAACTAGATGGACTAACTTGACCTCATAATCTTTCACCTCTAACTTTCTATGGTTTCATCCTATAAAAAACTTCTGCTTGATCTGCATTAGCTACTCATAACTTCAGGTCCTGGGAATTGATGATTATGTAAAACTGACAGCTGCAGAATTAACAGTCTATCATTTTCTGCCCTCAGACAGGATGGAAAGCAGCTGTTAAAAATTTGGAATATTTTCCTTTCAGCATAAGTATACTTTTCAGTTACCAAGCTGATATGAAATTGCACATAAAGGCTTTCTTGGTAGTAAGAATGTGGATGTGTCCAGCTGTAGCTGAAACGTCTCACGGCTTGTTAGGGGAAAAACAGATATCACAAATAAATTTTTGTAATACTTGTATCTTTCTTTATAATACAGAACTTAATGGAGACATTGACTGAGAAAACTGATCAACAGTCCTCAGTAGCAGAGCTTCAAGAAAAAATTGGTATCTTTCTTGCTGTTCTCTTTTGTGTAAACAGTTTGGGGGTTTTAAATTGTTAGTTTTTCTTTCTCTGCATAATTGTGCAATATTTGCTACAAGCCAAGGAAAGTGAGGAAGTAGATGTCAGTGCAGCTTCTTACAATATTCCTTCCATTAGAGATTTAAAATATTGCTAGCAATCTTAAGTCAGTTATCATTTGATATTTCATAAGTTTTTTTCTTCCTGTGTATATTTGGCTATAAACAGTGTAGTGGATTTCATCTTTATTTTTTTAAATATGGGCAATAATTGTGTCAATAAGAATCCCCAAGGCTGCCGAGAGGAAAGTGGCGCTTTGCCAAAACTACTGTTGCCTCATGGCAGGTATCCAAACACATTAGGAAGAAGAGCATTCTGAGCTGTTACAACTGTGTGTAGAAGTAGATGGGAATATGGCTTTTAACTTTAACTGTGGTGGCAGCCTCTGAAATAAGGAGAGATTGTCCCTAAGCTGTCTGTGCGGCTGGATGTTCCAGCTTCAAATTAAAGTTAAATTCTTAACTGAATGAGATGTTCCAACATCTCCCCCTGCTTTATATTTTGTTTTGTTTTGAAGTCATGCTGGTATATGTGTTCTTACTTCATTTAATTTCATTTCTTGGGGGAGAGGCAAGGTGTATTTTTTTCATTTTCTTATTTATTTATTTTAGGATGGCTGGAAAAAGAATCTGCAGAAAAAGGCGAGAAGCTAAATAAAATTAAGGTTGTTGCTGTGAAAGCAAAGAAAGAATTAGATGCCAGCCGAAAAGAGGTACCCTGACTGCTTCTTAATATGAATAACATTCTGCATATGGGGTTCTGTTTTAATGACACACACTTCTTTGTAATAAGATGCAGACCCTGAGGGAAGAATTGGAGTTGGTTCGATCAGAAAAAGATCAGTTGTCTGCTTCAATGAAAGATGTCATTCAAGGAGCTGAAAGCTATAAGGTAAGAATAGTGCTATGTTTACGAAAGACAGTTAACTGTCAGAAAATACTTTGCTTTTGAAGCCTGGCCTGGATATATATATTGCTATTTACTTGCACAAGTATGTTTGGCAAAAGAAATTATGCCAGTGCAGTTGAGTACCCCAATCAAGAAAAGTGAGGTTCTAGTAACAGAATTGTGCGGCTGCTGTCAGAAGAAAATAAGGCAGTTCCTTTCTACTGGATGGTATTTTTAAACCTTGTAAATCTAGCATCATATGTATCAATCAATGTATTGCTGAGGCAAAACATAAATCCTTATGAATTCTTCAAAGTACATACATGAAAATGAGGATCAGTTCGAAAGTCCTTAAGTGATAAAGGCATAAACTAACAATTCCCTGGGAGCGAGTCCACTTGGAGCACATCTCTGGGCACATGAAGGAGAAGCAGGTGAGTGGGGATAGTCAGCATTGATTCACCAAGCGTAAATTGTGTCTGATTAATCTGATTGCCTGCCATGATAAAACAGGTGGGAGTTGTGGATGAGAGGAGAACAGTGGATGTCCCTTATTTTGACATTAGAAAGGCTTTTGATGCTGTCTTACAGAATTCTCGTATCCATGCTAGGACATCATGATCTAAATGGATAAACAACTGAATGGGCGCTTAAAAAAAAAAAATGCATGGTTTGGCTCAGAGAATAGCAGTTAATGGCTTGTACTAGATGTCAGTAACAAATGGGGTACCGAAGGGGTCTGTGCTGGGACCTGTCCTGTTTAACAGTGACCTGGAGAAGGTGATGGAATACACATTCGTCATGTGTTCTCAGATTATTTCTAATTGGGAACAGCCAATAGATGTGAGGGCAGGGCTTCCATTAAGAGAGACCCAGACAGGCGTGAAGAATGGGCTGACAGAAACCTTCTGAAGTTCAACAAAGACAGCTGCAAATCTCTTCATGTGGGAGAGAGGAACTCCTTGATATAAGCTGGAGATCGTGTGGCTGCTGAAAAGAATTTCAGGGTTTTGCTAGGCAGTCCACTGAGAATGAGAAAACTGTGTTCTGATACTAAAGGTGGATGCAGAATCCTGGGCTGCAAGAACAGGAGTACAGCTAGAGGTCAAGGGAAGTCATCATCTGTCTTCAGTCAGCACTCCCGGGAAGGTGAACAAGTCTTATGAGGAGCGGCTGAGAGAAATGGTGGTGTTTATCCTGGAGAGAAGGAGGCTGGGGGGAGACCTTATCGCTCTCTACAGCTACCTGAAAGACAGTTGTAGCGAGGTGGGAGTTGGTCTCTTTTACCAAGTGACAAGTGATAGGATCAGAGGCAATGGCCTCGAGTTCTGTCTGGGGAGGTTTAGATGCAGTATTAAGAAAAATTTCTTCACTGAAAGGGTTATCAAACACTGGACCAGACTGCCCAGGGAAGTGGTTGAGTCACTATCCCTGGAGGTATTTAAAAGACGTGCAGGCATGGCACTTAAGGACATGGTTTAGTGGTGGACTTGGCAGTGTTAGGTTAATGGTTAGACTCAATCTTAAGGGTCTTCTTCAACCTAAATGATTCTGTGATATCATTGAGAGTATTGCAACCAGTATTGTCCATCTTCTTCCCCCCAAATACAAGACAGGTATTGATAACCTGGAGTGATTTCAGTGGAGGGTGGCAAGGATGGTCAAGAGACTGGCGTGAGTGATGTACAAGGCTGAGATACTGCTCAGGCTGGAGAGAAGACTTTCAAGGGACCTAATAGCAGCCTTCCAGTATCTTCAAAGACATTATCAGGCAAATAGAATCAGGTTATTAATGGCAGTGCAAGATGAGAGACAGTAGTCCTAAACTGAAATGAGAGATTTCAACTGGATACATGGATAAATATTTTTACCCTATGAGGATGGTCAAGCTGTGGAACTGGTTGCCCGGAAGTGTAGTGACATCTTCATCCTTGGAGGCAGGTCCTTGGAAAGACCTGACTGGACAAAGCTGTGAGCAACCTGGTCTGATCTCGCTGGTGACCCTGATTTAAGTAGGAGGTTGAACGTAGAGCTTTGAGGTCTCTTCCAACCTGAATTATTCTAGAATTTAATGAACTGAAAAGGGTTTCTCCCAGAGCCTGTAATGGAACAAGAGCTTTAATTTCATTCTGATATTTCTGATGTTGCAATAAGACAACTCGTGCTGAAATATTAGCAAGATAAGGAAGTGTCTGAGGTATAGAATGTGCTTATGGAAGGTATATTTTAAAATATGACGGGTTTGTGTTTGTATGTGTGAAGAATCTTTTGATGGAATATGATAAGCAAGGAGAACAGCTGGATTCTGAAAAAGACAGAGCAAATAATCTCGAACGTCAGATAGATGACCTCACAAGACAGCTACAGGTGTCATCCCAGCAGGTCAGTTCTGTGTGTGTGTCTGATCTATTGATAATTACGGTAAAAAATATTTTACCTGTTGAGTGTAAGTTTTACTCCTATGATTGTTGCTATATATAGCTTTATAACCTAAGTGCATTTTGGATATGATCTGAAATTCCGTGGTTTAGTTTTTTCCAACACCTGATATCTTATCTGGGCCATGACAAAGGTAAATATATCTAGAATGTCTGGCTTTTTTAATAGAAAGGGTTAATTTACTTGAGGTCAACTCATAGAAAAGAGCAGATGATCACGTCTGGCTTGGTTTGCACATACAACTCTGCTGCATGTAAAAGATATAAAAACAAAGTATCAAACTTGCACTGTTTCTCTGATTTCACATTTATACTTCTCATGAAGTACAGTAACCTTTAACTGTTACTATTTTTTTCTTCTGTTTCTTAGACAAAATGTGGTTTTATTATTTAATCAACACAGTGTTTAAACATAGTAAATTAACAATTTTTTTTTGGCCACCTTTCACAAGGGTGAGGCTTTAGGATGCATTGTAGAGTACTACAGTGGCATTCAGAAGAGTCTAAGATGGTAATTAAGCAGCTGTGAGACACATTTTTGCAAAGCTAACTGCAATGGGGTGGGGATTTAGGATTTAAACTCCCAGGCCCCGTATATACATAATTACACTGAAGATCCACGTAGGCCACTGTTTCCTTATAAACGGAAGCTAGTAGTGAATAGCATAGGAATAAATGACTAATAGTAGCGTATATGCTGCTGATTATGCAGGCGTTTAATTTTTCAAGTTTGTTACAAAGTATTTTGTACATAAAAACACTGCTTAGGTAATCGGCTGCTGCTTTCACTTATACTTCATTATTAATCTGCGTAATAGTGACCGAGATAAAACATTGAAGATGTCAAAATTAAATCTGTTAAAATCATTGCAAAAATAGCCCAGATACAGGAGGAATTCTTACTGTGTACTGATGTGACCTCGTTAAAGGCTTGGTGGTGCTGCAGTTAAATCTTTTTTAGGAATTTATAGTATGATCACTTATTTATAAATACAGCAGCTGAAGTGGGGCAGTCAGTACTGGAACGTTGCATATTATTGTGGGAGGAAGGTGATTCTTGCAGAAAGTATAAATTTTGAGGGGTGGGAATTGTTTTTCATATTTCTTGTAATTCTAGCCATCTTACAGAAAGCTGGAGAAATGAACTCTGAACAAAATAACCAAATTGTGCTAGTGACTTTAGTCTGTTTATTAATCTGGTTTAAAACAATTACGATGGTCAAGACTCATCTGTAGGAGAGCTGTTTGTAAGGGAGTCGGATAGAAATAGGTGTTTGTTTTTTAAATATAGACAATACCTTATCTGTCAAAGTCCCACTCAAATTCAGCTTACGTTTTTATCTTTCCACTATGATCATTTCAGCATGATCAGTTACACTCTGCTAATGAAGACCTCCTGGCTCGTGTTGAAACACTGCAGTATAATGCTAAGCTGCTGGAAGCTCAGATACTGGATATGCAAAGAGCCAAGGCAAAGGCTGACAAAGAACTGGAAGCCGAAAAGCTTCTGAAAGAACAGAAAGCAAAGGTAGTACTCTGTAGAAATGGTGAACGGGCTGAAGCATTACTTTCACTGGATGTAACTTCTGTTGGACCTTTGTAAACTGTGTTTTTATAGAACAAGTTCCATGCTTTCTCCTCTTGTTATTTGACTCGGTCTTTTTTTTAAGACTTGGTCTGTTTATTGAAAGAACTTTGCAAGGCTATCACTCTGAGTAGATTGCAGATTGTTACAGAATGTGAAAAACACTTCATAATCTTCTGGATTTTTCTTCGGTTCCCAATGATTTCACAGAAGAGGAATCGGTTACCTTTGTACAACCTCAGTGTGTGTGTGTATTAGTGTAAATAGATGCTGACATCTATTTTGAACTGCATATTGAGTAGTATTTAAATTTCAGGAACATAATGGTGCTCTCCGTGAAATGGAGGAGCTTCAGATGCAACTTCAGAAGGAAAAGAAGCATCTGCAGAAAACTATGCAAGAACTAGAGCTGGCCAGAAAGGTAGAGTTGCTGTTCATGTTAGTGCTTAATAGACTACCAAAGATTTTGTCCCATCTTGCTGTGTTGAATGCCTCCCTTTCTATTCTGAGAATTTCAAAGCTGGAGGTTTGCAGAAGGAAAAACATGAGGGCTTTCACCCCTGGTTTTGTGTTTAAGGAGCTGATCTGTGCTTTTGGGTTTGGTGGTTTGGTTGGTTTGTTTGTTTGTTTTAGCTTGTGTTATGTGGCCTGTCACGAGTAGAAACAGAAATAGAATTCAGGTGTCTGGAGTACTTGTATGATGCACCATTCAGAAGCTGCCCTTGTTGTAAGGACTGAAGATGATAGAAACGAGTATCTGCAAAATACCTACTGGTAAAACTGTTAAAACTAACAATAGGTTTTTCAAAGCTTCTGGTTCTTGTTTGAAAATAGATTATTTACTGAGGATATGGAAACCTGATGGATGGGTATTGCTTGTGGATATGGATAGTTATAAAGTTTTTGTTAGATGAGCAATACAGTTTTTTCATACGATTAAAAAAAAATTCTTGGCAGCCGAGGCAGATAATAAGCTGTAACTTCATTGTGTGTAACTTGCAGGATGCTCAAAAGAGTACGCTGATGGATATGGAAATAGCTGATTATGAAAGGCTAGTAAAAGAACTTAATCAGAAGATCACTGATAAAGACAGCAGAATAGAAGATCTCGAGCAAGAGACTGGGATTCAGAAACAGAAGCAAGAGACCCTACAGGAAGAAATAAGTGAGTAAACTATAAACAGCTGGAGTCATTATGGTATAATTAGTAATGGTGAAAAATACAATTCAGAAAACTTCTCAAGTCGATGAGTGAGAGTAAGTTTTACAGGGAATACTGAACAGTTATGTGGTCAAAACTACTTTTCCATACAGGATACTTTACTAGGTTATTAGTCACTTGATCTGTATTCAGCAAATAAAAGCTAAATGGCCTGCATGATTAAGTTAATCATAAGTTCTGAAAGTCGGTGACTGACGGTTTTCATTCTGACATACCACACTCATAAAAGTTTATTAGTTAGGATGTGGTTAAAAATTTTATTTCTTCCTATCCTTAAGTGTAAGTTTTAAAACAATTTCATTTATTTGAAGATCTTTGTGATAATTGGAAATAGGATACTAAACTTAGTGTAAGCTACTTGTTTGTAGCTCGTAAGAAATCTGTCAGAATTTGCTTAAATATTTTCCAGTATTTTTAAGGGAATATAGGAGGGGAAGTTGCCTTTGCATGTAACTGCTGTTTTCTGCATTAGAGTCACTTCAGTCAACTATGCAACAGGATGAGGAAAGAAATGCCAAGATAAAACAACTCCTGGTGAAAACCAAAAAAGAACTGGCTGATTCAAAACAAGCTGTAAGTCCAGATGTTAATGACTGTGCATTCTGTTTTTAAACTAACTTTTAAAAAATGGGCTGGTAACTGAATTATTAAGTTGCTGAGGTTTGAGGGTTTTCTAATAACCAGATAATTTTATCATGCAGGAAAATGACCATCTAATGTTGCAGGCATCATTAAAAGGGGAACTGGAAGCCAGTCAGCAACAAGTGGAAGCCTATAAGGCAAGAAACTTCACTTCTTTGTTAGTATGTTTCTTATTTAAGTAACAAGGGTGGGATTTTTGCTGGGCGGATGGAATATAGGCTGAAGAATGAAAAATGTGTGCTTTTTCCTACTAGGTTACTGGTTCTTTTTCTTGAATGAGTGTTGTCTGCTGCTTTCCCCAAATATTTCCCCTTTGGTTTTCTTTGAAGCTTGCGACTGGGATATGTTTTAAAATAATGTCTTTAAAAATGGAAGTTGCTCAGTTTAAAAATAAAAGAATGCAACATTGTCAGCAGAAGTCTTAAGTGTTGTCCATCTGTATAAATGTTATTGGTTGGGCAGAATAGGAATTGAATGTAATGAAAGGTGGCAGGGAAGGGAGAGGGCTTGACTTTTTTAAATGCTGCCACCCCACTGCTGTTCTCTCTCTAAACAAACATCATATATTTTTTAATTGAGTACATGGTAACCCCTGTCTATTTCTCATTCTGACTTTATTGGATTTTAATTTTGTGTTCACCAGTTCTGTGCAGGAATTACTGTAGTAAAATCCTGTGTTCTCTGTGGTATGTCCCCTTGGAGACGGAAGAAAAAATTTTGTCATAGTAAAGTTTTCAACTGACTTTTTTCAGATTCAGGTGGCTGTACTAACGTCAGAAAAGCATAAAGTTCAGGAACACCTGCGAACTTCTTCGGAGCAACATCAGCGTACGTTGAGTGCTTACCAGCAAAAAATTGCAAACTTGCAAGAAGAGTGCAAAGCAGCCCAGGTACTCTAGTGGAAGAAATAATGTCAGAAACTTTAGAAGGGAGATTTACTGTGCACTCTGTCTGCTTTTCTAAAAATATTTTGCAGATTTTTCACCCTCCTCTTTGTCTGTCAAGAATTAGGAACTACCCCAGTGCTTAATGTATTAGAGTGGTGGTATAGAGCACAAGCCAGACTCTGTCCTGGTTGTCATGTATCACTTTGGGTGGAACATCTGGACTGCACTCTCACATTCTGAGTAGGGAAAACCTTGTGTGGTGGTAGTGGGGAGTCGGAGTTTATTTAAGATGATCAGCAAGTATACACTGCAGGAAAAAGAGAAGTCTTAAAAGTGGAGAAGAACAAATAAAAAAGGAATAGAATTTTCTCCATATAAAACCAGTTAACACAGATACTACTTAAAAAACGAAAACACTGAAAATACATATTTGCCAAGCACCTTTTAATATACTGCTATATGAGCAGCTTCTTAACTGGCAGCTGAGCTACATGTGAAAGTGACACTATTGCTGAGGATTTTGTTATTTCTGGGGTTTTGTCCATATGACACTGTGTTAGATGTTCCTGGAATCTAGTGTTTGCATTGGAGGCAGACAGATTCAGAATATAGTAGGACTATTACATTCGGACTGTCGTTATGGAGATCAGTGCACCACCACATTATGGCCCTTTTTATATGATAGGTGTGCATCCTGCAGATAAGTAACAGTTGAACTCAGCCTCTCAAAAAACTTCTAAGTTTTAAAAAGGGGAACTGAAATGGACAGACTCTGGTTGCTGCTATAGGAGGCTTGTCTGAGTCGTACTGGTAGGTATGGATCATGGTTTCACAAATGCATTCTTTGTAACTGAGGACTTCACGGTACTTGCCCATGGTGGCTTGCTCCTTGCCCATGGTGGCTTGCTCCTTCATGTTATGAAACCAGAAGAGGGGTGTAGATCTTTCATGACGACATGGCTTGAAGCTGTTGGAAGATTAGCCTTCCTCTTTAGGTGCGCTACATCTAAAAAACAGATACTATTACAGTGTTATTAACAAAGGAAAACTCTGTCTAAAGGACAGGTAGACACCAAAGCAGATAGTAGGTTAGAAGACAAAAGTCATGCTGACATTTAAGTCTGTGTTCCTGAGGATGAGGACTTAGGAATATTCTAGGTCACATAGTTTAACTGGAAGAAAAGAGAATGATTAATTTAAAGAAAATGCCCACAAATCTTAGAGACTCCAGAAAAGCTGGAGTAGTGGCTATTTAGGGTCAGCGCCATGGAATTTCACTCACCAGCTCAGCTGAAGAGAAACTTCCCAAAATCCTCCTCTTGAAAATGAGAGTATCTCAGTCATCTCAAGGATGACTAATGAATCCATGACCTTCTCCTGAGTTCCAGAATGATAACCTGCATCTGTGTTTTCTTAGAAAAATACACAACACTAGTATTTGAAGGATGGGAAAAATTCTTGCTGTATAGTGTACAGGCAAAGATGAAGCTACGATGTTTGTTGTGAGGTAATTTTCTGTATGCCCACAGAAACTCGTGTATCAGCTGACTTCAGAAAAGACGACAGACCAAACACCCTTACAGTCAACTAGAATATCATATCTTGTGCTGTGTATTACCATTACAAGGCTGTCTTAACTCCTCAAAATTGTGCATAACTTTAAGGCACATTAGATTTTTGTCACCTGGGTAGTATAAAAGAAAAACAGAATTATCCCTTTCTTTCCTTCACCTTTGCCTTCATTAAAAGCTGTTTGGTAGAACCTCTTGCTTCTTTAATCTCTGTTCAGTGCAATTTTTGAATTCACAAGTAGTCTTTCTTTTCTGTAATACTGGTGTGGTGAAAATCAATGTTTCTTACATTAAGTTTCACATTTTATGATACTCAGAGTCTAAATGAAACATGACCTTTTATGGTAGTCACAATTTTAGTTATCCATTTAAAAGAAGAAAATGCAACAGGTGTGGGGGGGTTGATGTAAGATGCATTTCATTTTAAAGAAGTAAGGGAGCAGTAGTCCATGGCGTAACTTATTAAGGGTTTGTTTTCTGTGCGATAGGCTGAACAAGCATCTGTTACATCTGAGTTCGAGAGCTACAAAGTCCGTGTTCATAATGTTCTGAAACAGCAAAAGAATAAATCTGCTTCTCAGACAGAATCTGAGGGAGCCAAGCAAGAAAGGTAAAACTGAAATGTTTATATCCATACAGAAAAATACAGGTACTCGAGTTATTGTGCTTGCTTTTCTAATTCCTGACCAACAAGTGAGTTCCACAATTTAACTTTTTGCTGGAATAAGGAAAACATCAGAAGGGAGGCAGTTTGCCTCCCCGGTTACTTTGGTCTTTTTTAAAAAAAAAAAAAACACAAAACAAACAAAACCCTCTTTATTTCTGCAAAGTTTATCTGATCTGTAATCTAACTGTGGCTCTGCGTATCTGAATTCAATCAATTTGTACCATGGTGGTACTATGTTAGTTTCCAATTCCTTGATTTGCCTTTTTTCACATTTACTTTTGTGTAGATCACCTGTTGTTACAGCCAGAGGGAGAAGTAAGGTGTTAAGAAGATTCTCATGAGCATAAATTAGCCAGCATCTTCTGCGTACACTTGACACGTCGTTTTCTCTGATATAAAGTACTGTAGTGAAGTGCTATTTCCACCTAAGAAGAAAAGAACAGATTGGTACTGTTCAGCAGAGATCACTTTGAACTTTTTCAGGAAGGAATGGTTTAGTGTGGCTAAAGCTCTGGCTGCCAATTCAGTCATCAGTTCCAGCAGATTTATGAAATACTGTTGTCTTATCAGACTGCTAGAAAAGCTACGCTGCTAGGAGTTCCCTGAAAATCATTTAAGTGTAATTGTAAGGCAGCTAAATTTCAGATTCACTTCAGAACATGTCTGAAGCCACTGCAAAAGTAGATCAGTTTCTGTAAGTTATTTTTCTAAGTTGTTGATAGCCGTCCTTGGTGACAGACTGGGCGTTCACGTGCGAGATTCAAGGCCCTTCTTGATGCGGGTTCTGAAGCAGTACGTGCATCGGCGGCTGAAAATCCACCAGAGGGAGACTGGTGCTTTGTTAGAGGGCTTGGGTTTTACGGTTGGTTTAAATACATTTTACCCCTTCTTTTCTTTGAAGCAAGCAAACTGCAACAGTTGTGTTCTTTGTCTCTCCTTTTTGCACAATTTTAAGAAGTTCTGGTATTGTTATAATAAATAATATAATAAATAATAATAATTTATTTACAAGTGTCAACTCTAAGGGTTAATGAGATATACAGTTCATGAGATAATTAAGATGTCTTCACATATAAATACAGAAAGCATAAAAGGAGAATGTGTGTGACTTAAGACTTTTTCCTCCTGGTGTATCTGCTTTTGATTAATTTCTGATGGAGTTTATCTGTTTTTATATATGCTATTGCTTTCTAGTCCTTTGCTCAGAATTCCCTTCAACCATTTGTCTCCTGTATTCAGTCTCATTGAACTGACGTGGATTTACTAACCAAACAAAAAAAAAACCTCCACCACTTTTAAGAAGAAACTGTTTCTCCCATCTGCATCCCACATATTATTCTCCTTCTGTGTTGTTCCACCAAATCAGCTTGAAGTAGAAAGTGGTAGCGGTCGCATGTTCTATCCTAATAGTTACACTCCCAGCAGTTCAGATGAGAGGTGATAAACCTATTTGTACCCATATTGAAAAACAATCGCAACTTTCCTCATGGTTTTATGCTGCAGTCACATTCTAACGTTCTTTTAGTTGTGGTGGTGTATTGGTTTTATTATAAACAAGCAATTTGGATCAGCTATGCAAAATGTTGTGGCTATAATATGGGTTCTGAAATAATATTTTCTTTTGAATTGTTTTTTTTTTCTTTTTTTTTTTCCCCAATGTAGAGAACAGTTGGAAATGGTGATAGGCCAACTTAAAGTTAAGCTGCAAGATGCTCAGCATAATTCACAGATGAACGCGTCTGAACTCCAGGCGTTGCAGTCTGAACATGACACCCTGCTGGAAAGACACAATAAGATGCTGCAAGAGACGGTTGCAAAAGAGGCAGAGCTCCGTGAAAAGTATGGTCTGCTGATGAATAGATATACATGTATTTTATTTTATGTGAACTTTAAGGGCTGGGCATGCAGTGGCCTTTAACTGTACTTCCCAAAGAAAGGGCATAATTATTGAGAAAGTTAAAGGAATATTCAAAATTACTGTTTTTTATGTTTCGTCAGCTTTCAGAATTTTCTGCAATGAACACAAAGTAGTAGCTGATCAGGGAATTTCAGATTTCTGCAAGCTTTCTACCTGTTAACTCTTAAACTTAAAAATTAACGTTTGTTAAGCACGGTGACTGTTTTTAAGTTCAATACTGATCACTACTTTTGTGTTGGACTGCTCAACTAATTGTTATGAATGTTTCCTATTGGAAAAGCAAGGTAGTTAAATGCAGAGAAAACAATTTCACAGACAAAGTATCCAGTCCTGCATCCACCAGTTGCCTTTCTTACAGAAGGTAATGGGTTTTAAGTCTATGTTTGCCACAATGTTAATTTGCTGTTTCTTTCGAAATAAAGGATCTTCCCTTGCCTTTTCTCCTCTGTTTAGGGTACAAAGGAGTTCATATTAAATATTCATTAGAAATTGCAGCTTAGTGTTAGGAACTGTTGACTTCTTGTCTCTGTCTTTTGTCCTGTCTTATCTGGTCCTGATAGCCACATGATGATTCATTATAATCAACTAAATTATGTCCTTCTGCATTTTTCTGGAAACAGTAGGTCACAGTAGATTCCCTTTGTACAGAGAGACTAGCTTTTTGCTGCTCTGGCTATATTTAAGTTTGTATGCTTATAAGGACAAGTCCTATGCTTAGTCTTTCCGTACATGCACTTGTTTAATTGCTTGTGAAAATTTTGTCTTGCTTCTGGAGTACCTCCAAACCAACTACAACTGCTGTGTTACTGACATTTTTCTTGCTAAGAACTACGCTTTTCCACCATTTTTTGCACTGAAAGTTGAAACTTAAAAAAACTAAACTTAAGTTCTTAGAAACTGATGTTTTCATAAGTCCTGCATAAGTGTTTGGTAAATAAATGTTCAAGGAAGTGGAGCATAAGGTAAGTGACATGCCCTGTATGACTCTGTAAACAGTCATGTTGCAGTGTTAGAATTTAATAATGCTTAGACCACAGTGTCTCTAATACTTTAATTTCTCCCCAAAGATGTCTGAATTTTGCATTCTGAAACAGAAATCAAGAGTTTATATAGCACAGTGCATTCATATGATAGGTAGTAAGTGTAACTTTCTCAATGTTGGATTTTCCCTGTAAAAGGAGGAATTTAAACGGAAAAAAAACTGCACGGTCATTCTAAGGTAATCGTACACATTAAAATTGAAAACTACTATAAAATGTAAAAATTTTGAAATATATAAAAAGTGTAAGAAATGAACAGCAAAATACTTACGTTTTGTGTGTACGCTGTTTTCAGGCTGTGCACAATACAATCTGAGAACATGGTCATGAAAACAGAGCATGCCCAGATGTTGAGTCAGCTGACAGCCCAGAACGAAACTCTCCGGAACAATTTCAGAGATCAAGTCAGGAACCTGCAAGAAGAGCACAGGAAGACAGTAGAGACACTTCAGCAGCAACTGTCCAGAGTAGAAGCTCAGCTCTTCCAACTCAAGAGTGAACCAAACACTAGAGGTAACTTCCAGTCATAATACTGGCATCTCACGGGTTTTCTTGGGTTAGATACAAATTTGTGTACCTGCATCTGAATCTAAAATGTGCTTATAGTGTGTGGCTCTGTAATACACCAGAAACTTTTTCTGGAGAATCTTGCAGCATGCCACATCAATCCACTGATACCAAGTAAGGAACACGTCTTTGTTATTACTGTCCCTTAAGAATCTTAAGGTACTTGTTGCCCTCCTCCGGACGCATTCAAAGCTGGTGGAAGGACTGGAAGGCATGTCCTGTGAGGAGTGGTGAAGGACTTTGCGTTTGTCTTGTTTGGAGAAGAGGAGGCTCAGAGGTGACCTCACTGCTCACTTACAGCTTCCTGAGGAGGGGAAGTGGAGAAGGAGGTGCTGAGCTCTTCTCACCGGTACCCAGTGACGGGACATGTGGCAGTGGTTGAAAGCTGTGCCAGGGGAGGATTACCCTGGACACCAGGAAGCATTTCTTCACCGAGAGGGTGGTCAAACCCTGGAACAGGCTTCCTAGAGAGGTGGTCGATGCCCCAAGCCTGTTAAGAGGCATTTGGACAATGCACTCAACAACATGCTTTAACTTTTGGTCAGCCCTGAAGTGGTCAGGCATTTGGACTAGATGATCACTGTAGGTACCTACCAACTGAAAGTGTTCTGTTCTGTTCTAGAGTCTCCATCACTGTCATCTCTTCTGCAATATCTGCACTGTCAGACGGATGGAGGGAAATTACTTTGTAAATATTCAGTGCTCTTCCTATTAGTTTATCTCAGATTTTGGAGCATACAAATGCTCCAGTATGAGGGGTGTAAAGCTAAAGAAAAGTGTATTTAAAGATGTTTTAACAGTGTTTGTTATTGGAATACTTGCTGTTTGACCACTCTTCTAATTTTAAGATTTTACTGTGTTCAAGCTCAAGTGCTATTTTTATATCTGTAAAGTTACTAATTAGGATATAGTTGGAAACAGGTGAAGCAGCAGTGACAGTTTAAGAAGTTACTCTTTCCATATGTTACTGAAACAGCAGGATAGTGCACATGGTACAGAATAATTTACACCTGACATAGGACTGGTTGAAAGAAAAGTTATTTCTGTTTTGCATTAAAAACATTTGACACCCTTGTCATAGCTACAACACATCTTCAGGGAGAGTTGCATTAAGTCATAGTCACTGAAATAAAAATTGCCAATCAAATTTGGATTTAGAAACAGTTTGTGATTGGAATGATCATTTAGAGGTGAAAGGCTGTATTTTCTATTATAAATGTTGTGTATGTATCTGGCTTTCTCTCTTTTCTTCACCTTACCTCCCCTTGCATTTTGAAGACTGTTTTACGTAGTGCTCTCCAGTTTGAGATAGGGCTATTTCATAGGTGTGACTATCAGTTACGTTCTGATGACAAACATCAGTAAGTATCTTTCAGGTCCAGCTGTTCCAAATCCAGCAACAAAGAGCTTAAGAGAACGACGGAACACTGACCTTCCTGTTCTCGATGTGCACACTGTAGCTAGGGAAGAGGGAGAAGGTATGGAAACAACGGACACAGAGTCTGTCTCTTCAGCCAGCACCTATGTACCATCCTTGGAACAACTTCTGAACTCCCCAGAAGCAAAACTTGGTAGGTGGAACATGCCACTTTTTGAAGCACTTGCCTACGTAAGTTGCAGAAGTTTGTGCCCTCAAAATATCCAAGAATGTTGTGTTTTCATGTTTTTAGAATCATAGAATCATTTAGGCTGGAAAAGACCTTTAAGATCATCGAGTCTGACATTAACCTAACACTGCTGAGTCTGCCAGGTGCAAGTCACAAGTCTTCTTGAGTGCCATTGAGTGTACACTCTCCTGAATTTCTGTATGAGTTTTGTCCTTGAGTAATGACTAACAATAAAACACTGCTACAGGTTTTAGGGATTTAAAGATTTCGTATTTGTGACATTCTAAAGGGAAAAGACTGGATGAGCAAGTCAGTGAATAGTTACAGAACTCTTTATATTCTGGACGAGTAACTAGATATACAAAATTTAAAAATACATGGTAGCATCTGATCATGTTTTAAAAGTCTGATGAACACTGTGGAGAACTGTTGAAAACCTCCCATCTATGGGCAGGAGACAAGGAAGAAATTAAAACCATGTATCTTGATGTACTTAGAACTGATTTGCCAATCTCCTTTTAATATACTTGTATTATATACAAAAATAGATCACAAAACAAGGATGCAGAAGCAGCAATGATGCCTGTTAATTTTGCAGTCTGACTTTGTGTGGATTTTCTTTCTAAGAAACTACATGAATCAAATCCTAATGCTAAGTTAGTATAAGGAAGATGCAAGTGCTTTTTCCATCTCTCAGTATTCTTTTCCAATTAATTGCAGAACCATCTCAGTGGCAAGCAGAACTCACTAAGGATGAACTGATTCAGAAACTAAACACAACAGCGAAAAGTGCTGATCACTTGAACGAATTACTTCGTGAATCAGAAGCAACCAATGCAATCCTAATGGAGCAAATAAAGGTTAGCAGACATGCAGGAAATGTGGGCACAGATCTAATTTCTATGGTCTGTTTCCTAGATCAAATTTTTAAAACCAAAAATGTTTCAGAAAATCCCAGTCTATAAAAATGTGGTGACGCAAAAGTTAATTTGGAAGGGCTTTTATTCCATAGGACTAATTAGCGCTTCCAGAGTTGACTTCAGTTTTTTGTTTTGTTTTTTTCCTCACAGTTTCCAGTCAGGGCTGGTGAGGGAGTAAAAGCTGCTACAAAAAAACCCTCAGGAGTTTGAACATTCAGTGTTCAGTGGAGTGACTCTACTGTTTTCACTCAGATAAAAGCAGTGAATTCCAAGGGAAGCATTGTTAGGTTTCTCTTCTTGTAACCCCTTTTAACTGTCTGAAGTTAAAAGAAGATATGTGTTTAAAGATGTATGTACTAATAGAGTTTGTTGATTTGATTGTACTTCCCTGAGTTTTCTGAAAACGTTTTTGAAGTTAACCTATTTTCTAAACATGCAAAGCTTTCTTTTATAAAATGTTTCTTAATGAACGATAATATTGTTAAATCTTTGATCCACTTTGCTTATTTAACTGTTCAACTTTTACTGAAATTGAATAGTTGGTTACAAAGTTGGCTACTGCACAAATTTTATCAAAAAATGTTATTTTTGATCAATAAAAAGTTATTTCTGGACAACATCATCACGTGTTCGAGTTTCACTGGATGTTTGTCCAGAATATGATGCTATGCACGCATTCTTTTTGAAGCAAGCTGCATAATGGATGGGGCCAAACTCTTTTCAGTGGTGCCCAGCGACAGGACAAGGGGCAATGGGCACAAACTAAAGCACAGGAAGTTCCAGCTGAACATGAGGAAGAACTTCTTCTCTCTGAGGGTGACACAGCACTGGAACAGGCTGCCCAGAGGGGTTGTGGAGTCTCCTTCTCTGGAGATATTCAAGACCCGCCTGGACAAGGTCCTGTGCAGCCTGCTGTAGGTGACCCTGCTTCGGCAGGGGGGGTTGGACTAGATGACCCACAGAGGTCCCTTCCAACCCCGAACATTCTGTGATTCTGTGATTGATTCTGTCATTCTGTAATTCACTTTTTAGCTCTTCAAAAGACCTTTTTTTCAATTGCTCATTATATGAAGCAAACAATAGTGCATATTTTTTTCCTCATCTGCAGCTTCTTAAGAATGAAATAAGAAGATTGGAAAGAAATCAAGAGAGAGAAAAGTCTGTGGCTAATCTAGAGTACTTGAAGAATGTTCTATTGCAGTTCATTTTTCTGAAATCAGGAAGCGAGAAAGAAAGGCTGCTCCCAGTAATAGACACCATGTTGCAGCTCAGCCCTGAAGAGAAGGGGAAGCTAGTAGCAATTGCCCAAGGTAAGTGCTGTTCAAGACACTGTTGCAAAAAAAAGGAAAAGTGGAAATAAAGGCAACTGAAGTTCTGTACTTCCTTTTATGTAGACGTTGAAGGAAAAACAACGCTTAGCAGCACAATGCCAGTGTGAGCTAGCAATAAAACCATTTTGCTCTGTTGGGAAGTTACCATTCAGTTTTCAGAAAACAGAACAAGTACACAAAAATATAAATAAAATTAAGGTAAAATATAAGTTCTTCTGAAACATACACATTTTAGGAAGATGGTAGTAAGCTGTAAAGACTTAATGTGTTCGTGTTTTGAATAAAGATTTCTGTCAAAGTGCCCTTAAAATAGCAGTTACTATAAATCAATTACTTTCTTGGCAAATGTTCTAAAAAGATAATTAAAGTAGTCCTCTTGAGGCAGTACTGCAGATCTAATATTAGTTTCAATATATTGACTTCAAAAATTTCTTCAAGAAAATGTGCTTGTCGTTTAAGAAATAAAGGAACTAGGGAAGGAAGGAAGGAACTAGGGAAGGAAGGAAGGAAGGAACTAGGGAAGGAAGGAAGGAAGGAACTAGGGAAGGAAGGAAGGAACTAGGGAAGGAAGGAAGGAAGGAACTAGGGAAGGAAGGAAGGAACTAGGGAAGGAACTAGGGAAGGAAGGAAGGAACTAGGGAAGGAACTAGGGAAGGAAGGAAAGGAAGGAAGGGCTGTATAATTATGTTCTGGCTCCACTTCAAGTACTGATTGGGCATTCGTTCCCTTAAAAACACTTTTTAAGATATTGTTTGTCACTTCTCAGTAACAACCTGCAGCTGCTTCTACTTCATTAGCAACTGACATATACTTTATTTTAAAATTAATATAAAGAGTAAGTACTGTGTGTATACATAAGCACTCTCAAAATCACATGAGTAAGAAAAGTGGCAAAGTACTGCATTCCATGATAGGCTTTGCATTTGGAAAGATGAGATGTAAATTAAGTCCATAGCATTTACATGTTGTTCTGTCTCTCTGATGAACACTGACTGGATTTTTCTGGAGAAGGGTGATAAATGGCTTCTTTAAAGCATCCTTAAGTACCTAAAGTAAAGTGGACTTGGTGATAAAATCCATGAACACCTGTGGCAGCCTAAGAGTGAGTATTGAATGTTACCTCTTCAACAAGTTTATGAGGACAGCCTTTGATAAAGGACAGAGGCAGGGGGCAGAACCAAATGATGCAATGTGTAACGTAATAAACTTTAGTTTAAAGTATGTTTTTCTTCCTCCTTCAGGTGAGGAAGAGAGTACCTCACGGCCCTCTGGGTGGGCTTCATACCTCCACAGCTGGTCGGGACTTCGATGAGACAGTGGCAATGCTGAATCTTTAAACGCATTCCATAGTTGCAAAAAGAGAAATCTTAATGTAGAAGAATAATCTTTTGGTGTTGTAGCACTGAACAACAGCATTTTACTTCTGTGTGTTATTTTCAGCTTTTTAGGCTAAGAAAGAAGCCCTCAGTAGCTCTGAAAGACTGTCCTATATTCTGCTCTGACAGCAGTGAACTTCCTCTTGTAAACGTTAAAGCTGATGATCAGAAGTATAATGAGAAGTGACAAATTAATTGCAAATTCCTTGGAAACAGAATTTGACAAACCTGTGACAGATCTTTTGATACTGATTTAAAAACTCAATCTGATATAGTAACTGGAATAACTAGACTTTAGACTTAAAGCATTTTGAAATGTTTACAGTTTCACATATTTTTGTCAGCTCGCTAATTTATATGGTTAGTGTTGTTCTCTGCACTTTGAAGAAATTAAAATGGAAGTATTTCTTTTCTGGTGATGCTTACAAAATGTGAGACCATTAAGAAACAGAAATGGCATTTTCTGCTTTGACTTGACTAAATTTTTCGTCTTGGTTTTTTTTTTTTTTTGTGCAAAACCTTAATTGAAAATATGAAGATAATAGTCCACAAAATGTAGATGAGGTCTAAAACTATATGAAATATAATGCTTGGCATATCTGGGGCATGGTACTGTAGCAGAGATTAATGGCATCTATGGAAGTCTGGGGATCATACTCCAAGAATCAGAGGTCATAAGTGAGCTGAAGCTTTGGGAGAAAGGGCTTAAGCTATGGCTTTTTACCCTGAGGGTGGAAGTTTGTGTTCAAGACCAGGAAGAAATGTGTCATTACTGTCATGATGCCTACACGTTGATGAAAAGACCACGCATGCTGACTTAGTCATATTGAAGACACTAAACGAAAGGTCCGAGTCCATAGGTCAGACTCCTACCGATAGCTTCTGAAAGAGAAAGACAGGACTTTTTTAAATAGATGCATCTGTCAAACGTTCCAGTCATTGAAGATGTTATATTCTTCTCTCACTTCTCTCTCTTTGCATATGTCATTTGCACAAACCTTATGCACAAATGAGATAATCTCTGTTCCAGGTTATTGAACAGAATGTTTGGGGGGTTTTCCCCAAGAAAAATACATCTTTGCCATAGAACTACTTTTTCGGTTATCAACGCAGACTGTTTTTTAGCTTTGGTTGTCTTTTTCCCCTTTCTAGTCCATGCTGCCTTTAACTGTCTTAATTTATTTGTAAGTTATTAAAAAGCATACACATTTTTAAACCCTGCTTACCTTCCAGCAAGAGTCTCTCCATCTTTTTCACTCATATTTTCATGCTTTCTGTGCTGCTTTACAGAATCATTCCCTGGTGTATATATACCAATATGAAATAGTATTCTTTCTTTCCTGTCTATCTTAGTTGAGGCCCTGAGGAAATGATGCCCATTGCTTTAATATTACCTATTTGGGACTGTGATTAGTCTGGCCATACAGCAGAACGACAGCACACATTGAGAATAAACTCTTCAGTAACTGTGCTTTTAGTTTAATTTTTCGCTTCTTGTATATATTTCAGTACACCTTCAACGCAGCCGACAGGCTTTATGTACATATTTTTAACTCCTTTCCACAGTCTTAAGCACCTCCTCCCCCCCCCCCAATATATGTTCTAACTGGAATCTTTGGTTTGTGCTACCAGTGAAAACATTCTCTGTGGATTTTCAGATCACAGAACTGATAAATGGTAGTGTGAGGATGAGTCTTGTAGGCATCTGTAGTTTGAAAATGTAGACAGCAAACATGAGGCTACATTTAGGTTTTCTTGCATTTGCTTTTGAAACAATTATCGTATCTTCAGCATTCACGTTTAGCTCCAGATCTTGGATGTTCAAATCCAGCTGTGCATAAGAAGCTAGAATTCGTTAATGTCATTCCAAAGAATGCCAAAACAGAACAACACAGGAGATTTGAAATACGCATAACAATAAATGCAAGGTGATTTTCAGAATGGAAGCATGTGAGTGGAAGGGTAGGACTTTGTCTTACTTACTTTGAACTAAGTTTGCAGCTGACCTGATTTAATCTCTTCTGCATGATGCCTGCTCAGCTGTCTCTTTAAGAGCTGTGACAAGTTCCTTTTTGAAATGCACATATTTCAGAAGTGTAGATTATTTAACATTGTAAGCTGTGAATAAATGTATTCAAGTAACATATATCACTGGCTGTATGAAATACCAGTTGCTTATTGACTTCTTTCAGGTCTGAGTTGCATGCTCACTGTTTTTTGTAAAACGCAAGTATTGCACTTATGAATGTAGTGGACACTTCTTGCATTACTATAAATATTTTTTTTACAATGGAGGATTAAGATCTTAGTGTAAAGGTATTTTAATAACTGCTACTAAACTGTTCTGTTGCTTAGATTGCCAGAACTTACCTTTGTGGCAATAAACTGTGTGCAAGCAAATATATCAAATTTAATATGCACTTGCAGTAAATGGCATAGAAGAATGCGGACTGGAAGATGGATTATTTTGCATAGAAAATGTTCTATATGTCGTATATTTTCATTTGTAATGTACAGCATTGTAGCTGTGATTTGCTTTCAAAAAGCGATTTTAAAATTGTAACTAGTACTGCTGCTCCTTGATGTACTGTGGTGCTCTCTTTTGGAAGAGCACTGTGTTGACTTTGCTTTCTGGTTCGATTGTTTTCTTTTCAGTGCCATATTTTTGTTAGGATGTTTCCCAGGAAATGTAACCCTGCCCAAAGAGTTTATATGCTTAGGACCAAATTTTACTCTTCTGTCAGCCTGCCTTCAGCCCAAGCCTAAGGAGTGTATAATAAAAAGAAAAGAGACTCTGCTGCCACTATGCAGGGTATATATCAATTAAAAACCAAAAATGGGAGTGATTCTGAGTTCACAGGCCTGCGTGTGCCCTGTAGTGGCATTTTTAACTGGCTGTACTGGAAATGAGTCATGTGCCATCCACGTGCTGTTTCCCCAGAAGGGAGACCCATCTGTGCAAGCAAAATGCACTCCATTTGAAAGACAGGACCAGAGCTTGCCAGTCTGTGGTGTAGATGAGGCCAGCTGGATTTAGGGTTCAGGATGGCCAAAGGGAACCTGTGTTAGAAGTGATACATGGGAGAGTGGAGTTGCTTTGTTTCTTTCCTGACCCCACTTCCACAAAGCATAACTGAGAATACGTGGTGAGATTATTTTCTAAATTTAAATCTTCCTTTGGCTATTGCCCTCCATCCGTTTGCTTTGATAACAGATGATATATCCTGAAATTGTGGAGGAATGTTTAAAAACTCTTCTTAGTTTGAACTAAGTGGCTTTGAAGGCAGGTTAACCACCTATGCTTCATTTGGCTTATGCTTTGGCTTCACCCAGTGCACCGATACTTCCTCAACTACCTGCTAGTTCTACAGTTAACTGGTACTGTGAAGATATCTGCCCTAGGAGCCTTGCAAATAGCAGTTACCACCCACAAGCTGAGAAACCAAATGTATGAAGAGATAAAAATATATTTGTTGTAGTAATTTCAGAATTGCTAGTGTGAATAGAGAAGTGTTTTGGCTCAAAATACGTATTTGATGGCCTTTTCATGTGGCCATCGCTTTAATAAAATTCACCTTTACCCAACAGAGTGCCTTTTTCCCTGAATGCCTGTTGTTACCTGAGAAAATGCTACTCAGGTGCAAGGTAGAAAACAAAGGGGTGTTTACTGTAGTATTGAAGAGAAGATTTAATGGGTCTGGTGTAGTAGCCACAGTCTTTGGAACACAGAAACAGTGATGGATACTTCTGGATGAATGGAAGAGGAGAAGAAATTGGTTTGTTTTACGTTTTTTTAGGGGGGTTTAAAAAAAAAAAACCTCACTTAAATTACTTCAAATATGTTGCTAGATTGCGGCCAACAATCTGACAATATCTGACATGAAGGAGAGGAGGGATGCAGAAGGTATTGATGTTCTTGTTAGAAGGATTGCACTCAGTATTTTTATTTTAAGTACTAGCCACCTTATAAATCAGCACTCCTTCCAAACAGCACTCAGCTTTGAAATGGACAGAATTACCTCTTCCCTAATTCCCTGTAATAATTTTTATGTATCTGCACAGTTGTCATAGTGCAAAAATTAGATGCTGTATGCATGAAGAGGTGGGTGGGTGGTTGGTTTGGTTTTGCTTGGTGTGTTTATCTTCTTGCCATCCATTTTTTGTTAGGCTATGCTTATTACACAAATGTGTGGTTGGAGAGGGGATCATAAGGTGCGAAAGAAGTTGACATAACAAATGGATGTAAAACAGTCAAAAAAGCAAGCCTGATATTTAAAGTCAACTTCTAACAGCTTTCACGTGAACATATATATGCGTAGGGGAAAAGAAACAATAATATGGCTGCTTTTCAAACTGAATTTGATCTAAAATTTATCATACTGTCTTGCAAGAATGAGAAGGTGTGTCTTGGGTTCAGGAGATTCCTTCCCATCCTGTGTTCCTCTGGCTCATTCTGAGGATCAAGGCTGGACTGAATAATGCAGACTGAGGGTAGTAAAACAAAGTGGAAAAATGCACATCAGTCACTGATCCAGCAACTCGATCCAGTTTGGTATTAGCGAATCACTTATTCTTCCTCCTGTCAGGTGAATGCCTCTGGGCTTCTTAAGAGTCCAAGGTAAAGGTAATCAGTGTAAAAACCACCGTGCTATTTTGGGCATGGGCACAGTCCCAGTCCTCTTATAATGGCTTTTGAAAGTGTTTTAGATTGATAGACATTGGAAAGCAGCTGTATATGACTAAAGGATTTAAAGAGGTTTTATTGTTTCATCTGGAGGCTTAATCGCTTGAGAATTAAAGCTTGTTTTGAGAACACTCGGACGGTTTCCGGAGCAGAGATACATTTTAGTTCTTGGATCTCTTGCCCTTTGCAGCATGCAGCACATCTCAAAAGTAAAAACCATGGAAATTGCTATAGAACTCCAGAAAAAAGCGTTTACCCAA